TATTTTATAAGAAATATAATATATTTTAAATAAATAATTAATGATACTGAAGTTAGCCGGCGTTTTTAATTTTTTGATTTTATCTTTAATAATTAAATTAGAACAAAAAAATACTTTTTAAAAATTGCACTTACAGTTTTTGAAGATTTTTTACAAGTGAAAATTTTTTTTTATTTTTTTTAATTATTTTTTCAATAAAAAAAAAATTCTCAAAATTTTTATGTGTCAGCTAACTTAATTTTCATAATTAAAATATTTTATAATTATCGATTGTAAACTATTGATACTTTGAAGCTCCAAAATTAGTTTATTTAGAAAAATCTTTAATAATATTGAATTAAATTCATATGATAATTAATGATTTTATATTTATACGGTATAGCTAAATTTTTACTATAATAAAACCTATTTGATTGTTTTTAACATTTTTCTTTGATCATTTTTGTATTTTTTTTTTCTTTAAATTTTTTTTTATTATATGCCAAAGAAGTATAACTTCTGACGCGTGTACATAAGTACACACACCATTTTTTTTTCAGTGTGCTCAATATCTATTAATTTAACGACCAGATTTTTATAATCAGAAATAAATTTATCGGTACTATAAACTGAAAATAAAAAAAATTTTTTTTTACTGTAATTAAATATTTAAGTAGCTTCAAAAACATTAAATTGAGGATAGAAAGGATGTAAATAAATAAATGCAGAGTTTCATAATGAATAATCATATTTTAATGACGCAATGATTGTACAAATGGATCTTTCGTAAACGTCTTTACGTAAACTGATAAACAATAACAGTAAATATAGTAAGTATAATCAATAATCGTAATTATACTGGCAATTAATACCGTATTTACTTATTTTCATGACTACAAAGTTTCAAACACAAAAACATTATTTTAAAATTTATTCATTCATTAATCACTATAATACACTCTTTGGCTCATTAAATCAGCTAATGTGCCAACAAAACAAAATCTTTTTAATTTTTTTTATTATTATTAGTTCATATTCATATTCATATAATTTTTTAAATTCAGAAAGACTCATATTTTATTTATTTTCGTTTATTTTACACCCAGTGGCGTACCGTTTCTCTAAATGATCTAAGAACTAAATTTATTTTTTGTCTGTATAAAACAAGGGAAATATATATAAATTTTTTTTTTAAATCCTTTATTTCGATCCCCTGTATTTTATTTAAATATCATTTCCCTTGTTTCATTGTTCAATTGCACAAGATTGAATTATTATTTTTTTTTTTCAATATTTTTGTCATTTAATGTTTACCCGTTCTTATTTTTTGTTTTTTTTTTTTTCGGGAAATATCGTAAACGGTAGCGTGAAGGTTGCAATGAAACATTTTAGAGGTGTAATTAATCATTAAAAAATAATAACAATAATATAACGAATTAAAAATATGATGCTCGGTACTAGGCCAACTATTGGGACGCCTCTAATCGAGAGGGTTTCGATACACTTTCCACATTAAAACTAAAAATAATTATACAAATTTTCATTTCTGCCTTACGAATAAACACTTTTTTTTTTTTTAAGACAATATTTGTTACATATAATGATTAATTAATTATTAATAAAATAACGACTTTCGACCCGCGTATTTAACTAAGGTCAATCCCAATGTGCACGAAGATAGAGCTTGATGACAAATATTTTTTCATGAATCAACAGCATGATTTGTTTGCTTTTTTTTTATTTATTAATATTTATTTTTTTATTTAGTATTAATTATTTACTTTTTTTTGTCTAACTATCGTACAAAGGGAAGTCGGTTTTAAAATAAAACTTTAGAGATTTTATAAAAATCTCGGTAAAAAATTTTGAATACTCGTCTCGTTATGATTTGTCATTATAAGTTTGTTGTTATTAATTATTAAACTTTTATTTTATTTATTTAATACCTCATTATTCAGTAGATTCGCAGCTTTGATTTATTAAATAAAAAATAATTTTAAAAAAATTATCAAAGCTCGCTTTCAAATAAATTTTTTTAATTATAAAAAACATTTTTTAAAGGCAAAAACATTTTTACATTCGCATTATATTATATACATATAAATATATATTATATTAATATATATTTATATATTCATACATATATATATATATTTTTTTTTATTAAAGAAAGCGAATTCTCTCGATCGGAGGACGCGCCTCGACAGAACTTTTACATAAAATATATTTATATATATTATATATAGAGATTGATATAATGCAATATAATAATAAATATTAGTTTATATATTTAAAATCAGCAACTTAAAATTTATTAATTTATTTAAATATTTATATGTGCGCAATTTAATCCGCCTATTTAATATAATTTAAATTATTACTTAAATTAATTGTTCAGTTAATAATATTACATTTGTTCGCTGTCGAATTTTAAGTGACACCTTAATTACGTATTTAGATTGACTATTTTATTAATTAATAAAGTTAGTCATCAATATATATGTAATAAAATCAATAAAAGTGAGTAATTGAAAAAAAACGGGCCACATATACATTTAAATAGTTCTGTTTTTTTAATTAAATAAAATTTTATTTGACCGTGTAGCTTTTTTTTACATTACGCGCAATCAATGCTCGTTCTCAGATAATAACTCTATACCATATTTTTTTTTGTTTTTCTTTTTGTTTATTTTTTTTTTTTTTATTTTTTGTCATTTATAATTGAGCCCTATATCATTATAATCTTTCTATGGTCCGGCATTAAAATCGTTATTTTTATTTTAAATATTTTTTTTGCTTTTTTTCAAACATTTTAAAAATTTTTTTTATTTTCGAGTTTTTTTTTTAATTCACTCTTATGATATCTAATCAAAGTCTTTGGTTATTTTTTTTTAGATTGGTGTTAACAGGCCTTGGCGAAACCCAGTTTCAAACCAATTCATACAACGCGTGGTAAGATTGTTTATTATTTTTTTTCATTTTTTTTTTTTGCTTTAAATATATGAGAAAATAAAAAGAGTAAAAAAATTTAAATTTATTTGTTTACGATAATTTATACATAATAATATGTACTGTATAAATAATTAAAATTAAATTACTCTTTTTATGTATCTCGTTATTATTTTAACTCAATTATTTTATTTTAATATATTGTTATTATTAGTTTATATTTATTTAATATTTTATTTTAACAATGACACGTGCACATTTTTCACAATGTTATATAATATTCTGAGATTTATATTTATTTATTTATTTATTCGTGACTAGTATGAGATTCATTATCGTCGAGCAGTATCTATTATACACGAAAATGCTGATTATCACGCGATTTAATTAAAGCTTTTTAAGTGACTTTTGTTCTGTATATTTTTTTATTAATATTAACATTTATATTAATAATATAATTAATATTATTTACTCCATTTAGTTGCTAAAAAAAGTTCAGTTAATTTTATTTTTAATTTAAATATCAAAATTATAAAATAAATTTAAATTTAAAATAAAAAATTGCAAATTTTAAATATTTTACTAAAAAAAAAAAATTTTTTTTTTAAATATTAATTGAATAAAAAATTAACTGAACTCTTTTTACAACTAATTATTTAAAATTTATAAATTTCAATAATAATAATTAATAAATTCAATATATTCGCGGTCAGTTTTTTCGTGTTAAATCAGACGCCGGCGAGTTAAATATCGTCACACGCGGCGTCTCTCGTAAATCATATCCAACACTTATAATTAATCTCACAATATAATTAAATTTTCTCTCAATAATTTAATCATCATCATAATATTTAATATACTCCACATAATTATTGACAATAAATATTAAACAGCTATACATAAAATGTTAAACATTCCAGCAATAAAATTATATAATTATAATTTATAACAATACAAGCTCAACAATGCAACCAAAATTAACAAATAAACATTTATTAAATAAACTGTTAAAATTTGCTTCATAGAAGGCTAATTAAATTTAAATTATAATTAAGTAAAAAAAAAACAATTAACATTGCAGTAAAGTATATACATTTGACACACAAAGGACTTAATTAAATTTGCCGTAAAAAGCTTGAGAATGACCTTGATTTATTATCAAAATTTTCCTCCTACGCTAAAAAAAAATTTCAAGTCGGCGCTTATGATTGAAGTTGTGTTTTTAAAATAAATTATTTAAATAATAAATGAGTCATATTAAATCAACGTGGATCGGACCTGCCGAGATAACCGCGCGTGACGAGTTAACATCATTCGTTTACTCTGAGATTTATTATAATCTAACTTTTATATTATATCAATTAATATATATGTATTGTTTAATATTTTATTTGCATTTACGTATTCATCTAATGGATACTTTCTGTTGCCTAATTTACATATTAATAAACCCAGTCATTGGTAATATGTTTATATACCAATTAATAATTATCAATTATTAATAATAATTATATCAGCATTGGATAATTTTTTTTTTTGTTATTTAATTATAGTAATATCCACCCGTACTATCAACTGCTGATTTGCTAGTACTTTGAGTATTTTATAATTCGTAAATTTGTCAGTTCTATTTAATTAATATTCAATATTTATTTATTTAATATGTTAGTAACAATATATTTGTTAATTACTGAAGATATTTAAATTTCAATTTTTTAAGCAATGGTAAAAATAAATTAGCTTGACTTTAAATATCCACAGTGATTAACAAATAAATTATACAAACAACGAAACAACGGTAATAAACACAAATGATTTACAACTCAATAAAAAAAAAATAAATTATATAAATATTTATAATTATGATTGCATTGATATTTGAACTATATATTACATTATTTATTATATAATAAATTTTACTTTGATTTTTTATTAATTGTTGAAACAATACGGCAATTGAATATACATTTATTTATTTATTTTTTACTGTTTTATATATAAGTGCAAGTAAATTCAACAAATTAAATTTTTATAAAATTAATAATAAAAGATTAGTAATTTATTTTTTCTGTTAAATGTTTTATTTATCTCAAGGTTTTAACTGTAATATGCATATAACAATGTATGTGTACGTAAACGCTTTAATTATAAATGGAGCGTATTTATACATATATATTTTTTATCTTGTATATAGATAAGATTTTTTAGTTAATTTTTTATCATTAAAGTAATCATTGTAACACTTCGTTTTTATTTTATTTTAATTTATTACTTAGTTACTTTTATAATTATTTATTTTTTTTTTTTTTTCCAATTAAATTATATTCTATCAGCAAGATTATATACAGAGATTATTTTTATTGCTGCTCGTAAGTTGAAAATTAAACCAATAAAATTATCAAAATATTAACCCTGTTTTTTTATTTTACTAAATAAATTTCATTTATTAAAATTTAACCAGAAATAAAATAAATCTTTTATTCAGTCAGTTAAAGTATATTTTATTTTAGAGTAAAAAAAAATGCGAACAGCAATAAAAAGTAAATATTATGAAAAAAAAAAAAAAACGAGGGTTTATTGATTAAAAATAATGAATAATTAATTTACTAATCTATTATTGTTAAAATAGTTATAATTATAAGTAATAATAAAATCTAAAAGTAATAATTATTATTAAAAGTTAATTATTAACTTAAACGTGATTATTAAAGTTAGATTGTTGAGCACAATTATTGATTTCTATTAAAGACTTTCGGGAGGCGCTATGGGCCGAATTAATATCTGCAAATTCACCGGCCGACTTACCCTTTCGCGGCAATGTTGTGGCTTCCCCGAGTGACGGTAGTTCCCGCGGCTTCCAAATTGGTGAACCTGATAATAACGACGTACAGATTTTTTTTTGTTTCTTATTTTAATTATTTATCACCTTCATATTTTCTCACTAATTATAATTATAATAATTCATGAAAAAAACAAAAAAATAACTAATAAAAAAAAAATATCTTCATTCATAGGCGCCGACTTTCGTTTAAAAATTATTTTAATAATACTTATTATTAGTAATTATAATTATTCATAATAATTATATATACGCAAACATATTGGTTTATCATTAATAATTATTATAATATCATTAAAATTATTGCTGTACTACATTATTAAATAATAAGTTATAAATCAAGCTTCTCCACTTGCCCACTTTATTGCGGGCTTTCTTAACAAGCAATTTTTTTTTTTACTATGCATAGGGCAAGTAATTGGTAATTATTTTCGTATTCTACCAGTTGGGTATCCTCAACCTTTTTGTATACAAAATAATAACAATAATAGTAATAATAAAAATAATATTTACGAAATAGTTCTGTTTAAACAATCTAAATAAATAATAAACAATGCAGCAAAATAATTATTATTTTTGAGGTGAAACGTGCCGGGAAAGCGTGCAATAATTTACGTTATTCGTAAATATATTTTAGAGCTTTCCAACCAAGTATAATCCAGAAGTCGACGCCTATGATTGAGAAATGCATGCAACTTAGCTAAATTTTAATTACCCGTTACCAAATAATATACTTTTATTTTATTTTTTTATTATTTTTGATAAATAGTTGTCAATTTTTATTTATAATTAATATTTGCTTACACGATAATTAATTTTTCTACTTTAAATTTTGATAATTCTTTAGTAAACTTCTTTTTAAAAATAAAAAAATCCTCCAGCTTTTAATTATTAAATAAATAAATTTAAAGCTATTGAAATAAATAATTAATATTTTAAAAAGTGATTAGTTTTTAAAATTTTTTTAAGCTTTATGTGCGGTTTTAAAAAATATAAAAAAATAAATGTCTAAAATTAATTAATTAATACACGCTTATGATATCTACTCAAAGTCTTTGGTTATTTTTTTTTAGATTGGTGTTAACAGGCCTTGGCGAAACCCAGTTTCAAACCAATTCATACAACGCGTGGTAAGATTGTTTATTATTTTTTTTCATTTTTTTTTTTTGCTTTAAATATATGAGAAAATAAAAAGAGTAAAAAAATTTAAATTTATTTGTTTACGATAATTTATACATAATAATATGTACTGTATAAATAATTAAAATTAAATTACTCTTTTTATGTATCTCGTTATTATTTTAACTCAATTATTTTATTTTAATATATTGTTATTATTAGTTTATATTTATTTAATATTTTATTTTAACAATGACACGTGCACATTTTTCACAATGTTATATAATATTCTGAGATTTATATTTATTTATTTATTTATTCGTGACTAGTATGAGATTCATTATCGTCGAGCAGTATCTATTATACACGAAAATGCTGATTATCACGCGATTTAATTAAAGCTTTTTAAGTGACTTTTGTTCTGTATATTTTTTTATTAATATTAACATTTATATTAATAATATAATTAATATTATTTACTCCATTTAGTTGCTAAAAAAAGTTCAGTTAATTTTATTTTTAATTTAAATATCAAAATTATAAAATAAATTTAAATTTAAAATAAAAAATTGCAAATTTTAAATATTTTACTAAAAAAAAAAAATTTTTTTTTTAAATATTAATTGAATAAAAAATTAACTGAACTCTTTTTACAACTAATTATTTAAAATTTATAAATTTCAATAATAATAATTAATAAATTCAATATATTCGCGGTCAGTTTTTTCGTGTTAAATCAGACGCCGGCGAGTTAAATATCGTCACACGCGGCGTCTCTCGTAAATCATATCCAACACTTATAATTAATCTCACAATATAATTAAATTTTCTCTCAATAATTTAATCATCATCATAATATTTAATATACTCCACATAATTATTGACAATAAATATTAAACAGCTATACATAAAATGTTAAACATTCCAGCAATAAAATTATATAATTATAATTTATAACAATACAAGCTCAACAATGCAACCAAAATTAACAAATAAACATTTATTAAATAAACTGTTAAAATTTGCTTCATAGAAGGCTAATTAAATTTAAATTATAATTAAGTAAAAAAAAAACAATTAACATTGCAGTAAAGTATATACATTTGACACACAAAGGACTTAATTAAATTTGCCGTAAAAAGCTTGAGAATGACCTTGATTTATTATCAAAATTTTCCTCCTACGCTAAAAAAAAATTTCAAGTCGGCGCTTATGATTGAAGTTGTGTTTTTAAAATAAATTATTTAAATAATAAATGAGTCATATTAAATCAACGTGGATCGGACCTGCCGAGATAACCGCGCGTGACGAGTTAACATCATTCGTTTACTCTGAGATTTATTATAATCTAACTTTTATATTATATCAATTAATATATATGTATTGTTTAATATTTTATTTGCATTTACGTATTCATCTAATGGATACTTTCTGTTGCCTAATTTACATATTAATAAACCCAGTCATTGGTAATATGTTTATATACCAATTAATAATTATCAATTATTAATAATAATTATATCAGCATTGGATAATTTTTTTTTTTGTTATTTAATTATAGTAATATCCACCCGTACTATCAACTGCTGATTTGCTAGTACTTTGAGTATTTTATAATTCGTAAATTTGTCAGTTCTATTTAATTAATATTCAATATTTATTTATTTAATATGTTAGTAACAATATATTTGTTAATTACTGAAGATATTTAAATTTCAATTTTTTAAGCAATGGTAAAAATAAATTAGCTTGACTTTAAATATCCACAGTGATTAACAAATAAATTATACAAACAACGAAACAACGGTAATAAACACAAATGATTTACAACTCAATAAAAAAAAAATAAATTATATAAATATTTATAATTATGATTGCATTGATATTTGAACTATATATTACATTATTTATTATATAATAAATTTTACTTTGATTTTTTATTAATTGTTGAAACAATACGGCAATTGAATATACATTTATTTATTTTTTTTTTACTGTTTTATATATAAGTGCAAGTAAATTCAACAAATTAAATTTTTATAAAATTAATAATAAAAGATTAGTAATTTATTTTTTCTGTTAAATGTTTTATTTATCTCAAGGTTTTAACTGTAATATGCATATAACAATGTATGTGTACGTAAACGCTTTAATTATAAATGGAGCGTATTTATACATATATATTTTTTATCTTGTATATAGATAAGATTTTTTAGTTAATTTTTTATCATTAAAGTAATCATTGTAACACTTCGTTTTTATTTTATTTTAATTTATTACTTAGTTACTTTTATAATTATTTATTTTTTTTTTCCAATTAAATTATATTCTATCAGCAAGATTATATACAGAGATTATTTTTATTGCTGCTCGTAAGTTGAAAATTAAACCAATAAAATTATCAAAATATTAACCCTGTTTTTTTATTTTACTAAATAAATTTCATTTATTAAAATTTAACCAGAAATAAAATAAATCTTTTATTCAGTCAGTTAAAGTATATTTTATTTTAGAGTAAAAAAAAATGCGAACAGCAATAAAAAGTAAATATTATGAAAAAAAAAAAAAAACGAGGGTTTATTGATTAAAAATAATGAATAATTAATTTACTAATCTATTATTGTTAAAATAGTTATAATTATAAGTAATAATAAAATCTAAAAGTAATAATTATTATTAAAAGTTAATTATTAACTTAAACGTGATTATTAAAGTTAGATTGTTGAGCACAATTATTGATTTCTATTAAAGACTTTCGGGAGGCGCTATGGGCCGAATTAATATCTGCAAATTCACCGGCCGACTTACCCTTTCGCGGCAATGTTGTGGCTTCCCCGAGTGACGGTAGTTCCCGCGGCTTCCAAATTGGTGAACCTGATAATAACGACGTACAGATTTTTTTTTGTTTCTTATTTTAATTATTTATCACCTTCATATTTTCTCACTAATTATAATTATAATAATTCATGAAAAAAACAAAAAAATAACTAATAAAAAAAAAATATCTTCATTCATAGGCGCCGACTTTCGTTTAAAAATTATTTTAATAATACTTATTATTAGTAATTATAATTATTCATAATAATTATATATACGCAAACATATTGGTTTATCATTAATAATTATTATAATATCATTAAAATTATTGCTGTACTACATTATTAAATAATAAGTTATAAATCAAGCTTCTCCACTTGCCCACTTTATTGCGGGCTTTCTTAACAAGCAATTTTTTTTTTTACTATGCATAGGGCAAGTAATTGGTAATTATTTTCGTATTCTACCAGTTGGGTATCCTCAACCTTTTTGTATACAAAATAATAACAATAATAGTAATAATAAAAATAATATTTACGAAATAGTTCTGTTTAAACAATCTAAATAAATAATAAACAATGCAGCAAAATAATTATTATTTTTGAGGTGAAACGTGCCGGGAAAGCGTGCAATAATTTACGTTATTCGTAAATATATTTTAGAGCTTTCCAACCAAGTATAATCCAGAAGTCGACGCCTATGATTGAGAAATGCATGCAACTTAGCTAAATTTTAATTACCCGTTACCAAATAATATACTTTTATTTTATTTTTTTATTATTTTTGATAAATAGTTGTCAATTTTTATTTATAATTAATATTTGCTTACACGATAATTAATTTTTCTACTTTAAATTTTGATAATTCTTTAGTAAACTTCTTTTTAAAAATAAAAAAATCCTCCAGCTTTTAATTATTAAATAAATAAATTTAAAGCTATTGAAATAAATAATTAATATTTTAAAAAGTGATTAGTTTTTAAAATTTTTTTAAGCTTTATGTGCGGTTTTAAAAAATATAAAAAAATAAATGTCTAAAATTAATTAAGGGGGTAATTTGGTCTAGAAGCATGAAATTTCAGGTAATTTTTGTGATGGTAATAAGTCCCGTAAAAAAAAGGCAATCAATATTTTTTTATATTTTAACATTATAAGAATACAGAAAAAAATTGAAAATTCAAAAAATTAGCAGCTGATAAAGTGAAGGAAGGGGTCTCAAAAAATTGGCAAGTGACTATACCCACAATTCCGACCCTCCTACACTGATAGAAGGATTTGTTTATAGTTAAAAATATTTGTTAATATTTAATAAATCATTTATTTGAGACCACTTTATAGTCCTTAATAAATATTTTTTAGTATTTAAAAAGATTTATTAATTGAATAACAGATTTATTAAATACAAACACATCATTTTAAATACTAAGAAATATTTGTTTAATATTAAAAAGTGGTCTCAAATAAATGATTTGTTAATTATTAACAAATATTTTTTGGTACAAAAAAATCCTTCTATCAGTGTAGCAATCGGAAACAAAAAAATAAAATAAATTATTAATCTAGAGTAATGTCACTATAATAGTTGGAACTACGAAGAAGTAGAAAAAAAATTTTTTCACAAAATAGCGACTGCTTGAGAAAAAAAAAAAAAAAAATTTTTACTATTTTTTTTCGATTTTTTCGAATTTTTTAAAAATAGTAAAATTTGAAATTTGGGGATGACCGTAGTTCCTACCATAGCGACATTACTCTAGATTAATAATCTTTTTTATTTTTTTGTTTCCCATTACTCGGAGGGTTGGAATCGTAGATATAGTCACGTGCCAATTTTTTGAGACCCCTCAGCTGCTAATTTTTTGAATTTTCAAATTTTTTAATTTTTTTCTGTATTCTTATAATGTTAATAAATAACTTATAAAAAGATGGATACTAAAAAATATTGATTGCCTTTTCTTACGGCACTTCAAAAATTACCTGAAATTTCATGCTTCTAGACCAGAATACCCCCTTAAGCAAACTTTAAAAAATAAATCTTCAGTAGTTATTTAGCATTGAAAGTTGGTTGAAGTTAAAGTAGAAGTTTTCTAAAAGAATTACCAATCTACCTTTACTAAAACAAAAAACCTATCGTAAGCTACATCATTGCAAAAAAAATAAAAATGCATGAACAAACTAAAAATATAAACAAAAGTATATTTATAATACCGATAATATCTACACCGGCAATTCACTGTACGGATCAAAATTTTTAACTCTTTTAGGCAACCTAGCACGCCTCTTACCCAGCTCTTTAACTGAAATAGGCTGATAGTTCTCGGGCTGGTGTGACGATTGAATAAGTCTCGCCTGGCTGCCAGTGCTACCAGCGGAGATGGTCGAGGTGGTACTCAACGTCAGGTGGTTAGGAGTTCGCCCCAAATTGGTCTTCTTCTCGCCTAAAAAAGCCTGGGAGTCCTCCTCACCCTCAGACTTTGTTCCTGAATCCATATCAATCTTTACTTCACCTAAAATTATTTATTACCACACGAAAAATAATAACATGTACACGGTGAGAAATTTCCAATGAATTTTACTATGCGCCCATAGTAAAATTCATTGGAAATTTCTCAGCGTGTATGAAGGAGTAAAGTTAAAAAATTGCCATTTTTTTTATAAAAATGACAATTTATTAGCACCTGAGGTATCACTGATGGTTTTGCTACGAGTACGGAATGAAATTTGTTGGATAGGAATGTCATCGCAATCTCTGTCCTCGGAGCTCTCGTGTTCAACCGAGGATTTTGGATGACTGTGCTTTCTCCGCGAGTTCAGGGTGTTTGACAGGATCTGCTGCTTGTTCGCTTTCTTCGAAAGTGTCCCAGTCGCTCCGCCAGAATTGCACGGGGTTCCGCCATTCAGACCTTGATTCTGGACTTTATCGAATTTTTCCACGTGCCCGGTAGACATCCGCGGGGCCATTGTCATCGGCGGTTGAGTTATGTTCGGTTTTGTTGATGGTATACTCATATTTCGAACCGATTCGCGGATTATCTGGCGGATTGTTTTCAAAAATGCATTTCTGAATTCTGTCGTGCTGTAATAAAATTATTTTATTTAAATATATTTTTTATATTCAATTATTACTCATCAAATAAATAAGCTAAAGTAAAATTATCTATTCGGTAAAAATTCCAAGTTAAAATAATACCGTACAATCTATATTTAAAAGCAATGATTAAATGTCTTTATCAACTGATAGCCTACATTATTATTTTTTTACTTTATTAGCCTCGAAAAAATATTTCAATTACTAAGAATGAAATTTAAAAATTTGTTTGAATTAAATTTATTTAATTTATTTAACATTTTACTCAATTAATTATTTTTAATGGGTTAATTAATGAAATAACTCATTCATACGCTATTCCTTAAACTTACTTCTTTAAAAACCTCAGACGCCTGAGGAAGGAGTAATAAACTCCGAAACGTTGCGTAAAATAAAAATCTAGTATTAACTTATTTCATGATCCTTAATCCTCGGATTACAACACATTAATTTAATTCAATATCAGGATCGGAATATCTCTTAAATATTTTTCATAACTTCCTTATCTATTTTACAACTTAAAGTTGTAATTATGATTATCATTGACGTCAAAAGATTAAGTCCGCTAACCAATCACAATTCGGACCTATTTTTTCTTTATCTTCACGCAGTTAATAAAAAAAAAACTCAACTATTAGATTAATTGGACAGATAAAAAAAAATAATTAATGTAATAAAAACGGCAATTAAAAAATGTATTTTTTTTATTTTATTCCTTCCAGTTCAAGTACGGCGTCAATAACTACAAGTTTTATTAAATAATTCTGTTTAAGTAATCATGATTTATAATCACTTAATTTTCTTTGGTTTTTTAATTTTCGCAAAGTGTTTAACTACAATTGAAGCTGTAAATAATGTTAATAATGGGCAAGTATATTTTTTTCATTCAAGCACTAATTAAAAATAATCTAAAGTCAATTTATTTTTAAATAAAATTTTTAAGTGAAATTTTTCAAGTTTAATTCATTAAAATTAAAATTTTTAGATCGGAGCAATCTATAGAAGTAAAACAATCAAATAATACACCAAGTTCGCCTCTTGCTTTTGTTGCAACAACTGTCAGCTCGATAATTACTGAGGAGGAAGCGTCGGAAGAAAATGTTGGGACTTCTGAGCGTATAACCGAAGAAATAGCAATTACTCATATCCCAGAGCAAAGAAGAACATTTCAGCCGAGTGCATATTATGAAAATGGCAGAAACTATGAAGCCGCTTTTGTTATTCTTCCAACACCCAAAAATGTTTCAGAGCCATTTTTATCTACAACAAAAAGTGTAACTCCGGAGCCGAAAAAGGAAACTACTCCGAGAGTCCTCACTCCTGAAGAAAAAATTCATCCAATTATATTTGATTTCATTTCACGGATTAGACGTGTTAAAAGTTTATTATCTGCAATTAACAGAACTTCAACTTCAACTGTTCACCCAGTAGAAACTTCTTTCAACCCAAGAGACCCTAATAATCCGAAATTAAAATATTTCAAAGACTTTTACCGCAGAGTTCTGAATGTTAGTGATACCGATAATACCAATACTACAAAAGATCATCGGGATAGCAGCTTCATTAGAGCTTACTACGCAAAGAAAAATTTCCCCACTGCTATAGACTATTCTAAGGAAGACGACAGTCTTATTAAATTTCTAGGCGGTTCGGAAAATCATAAAACATCCAAGAGATTGCCTTTTAACACTAAAGACGTCTACAGTCCAAAGTATAAACAATTTTCTAAATTTAAGTATGACTTCTTCTCCCGTTATGAAGGTCCGAAAATAATCGTACCGATTCATACTTGAATTTTTAAGTATTTAAATGTAATGTAACATTAATTAATAATCAGCAATATTTATTTTTATGTTTTTTTTTTCGTTGATTTTAATAAATAACTATCAAGGTGAATGATTTGTTTGTTGGTTAATTATATCTATTGATAAGACATCTGAGTCAGTTCTATTTGATATCTTATCCGTGTCTCGATTATTTTTTCTAAAAATAAATTTGTTATTTTTATCAGTCATAAATATTTTTTAAGTTTGAAATTCATTATCTGTAACAATGCGTCTTATCAAAATTAAATTTTAAATAAATAAATTTATATTTGAAAAATAAAATTGTTATCCCAGCAAACAGATATTTCAAGTAGATTAATTGTTATAAGTGAATATAATTAATTAATAACAGTAAAATAAAGTATGAATTACTGTTATAATATACAATTTAGGAATAAAAAGTACCGTAGAATTAAATAAAATTTTGCAACCTCAAAATACCGTTCTGCTTACAGTAAACACAGTCGGTAGTCTGGCGCTCCGTTGACAACGGATTTGAACAGAACTTGGCGCCAGATTCTACCGAATCTGTGGATCGGTAGTCTGGCGCTCCGTTGACAACGGATTTGAACGGAACTTGGCGCCAGATTCTACCGAATCTATGGATTACCTGTTGGATAAAACGTAAACTTTTTCCGATCGCCTCTGTAATTGACTTCTTAAGTGAATCAATTCCCACAGGAAATGAGACTCCATGTCCTTGGCTGAGCTGGCGCGCACCTGTACCTCAGTCACTGGAATAAGTACTTGGTAACGAATTATTTCCACTTCGCTGGAATTCGTTTTAGTCGAGACGCCCTGTAGGATTTCAATAAAATAAAAGCTTTTGAGTAGCTTCAATCCACACAATAAAATAAATAAATAAATAAAATAATTTTTGTACCATAAGCTTTTTCTTCTGTCGCAATCGCTCTTTGCATAAAAATACAACCGCGGATTTGAATACAAAGCACATTGCATGAAGCTCCAGTCCTTTCTTTATTTTACCCAAGAAGTCTGATATATTCAGCCACTCCACGCCGCCGTAGTAAAGTAAATCGCCGGGGCTCAAATCAATTGGCTAAAAAAATTTTTATTTATTATTTCAAATAAATAAATAAATAAATTTTTTCATTTTTATTACCTGCTTGCATGATTTTTGATGTTGTCGGAATAAATGATCGAATATTGCGCCATACTCTTCATGAATTCTTTGCATTTCGTTAATATGCTCGGCTACTTTTTCCATTCCCTTCAATGCCTCTGTAAATATAGTATGCATTTGGTTTTTTCTATTTATTTTTAAAATTTTTTCCAAAGTAATATGATAATATTTAATAATAGTTCAAGAAAAGATATTAATAGTTATTTAAATATTTTTTATTAGAGCATCATGTGATGACAGTTTAAAATAAAGTATATTAGTGATTAAGTTGTTTATAAGGATATTGTTACTTATATATATAATGAAAAAGTTAAAAATAAAATCCTGTTTCAAAACCAAAAAAAAAAACCTCTGTAAATATTTTTAAATAATTATCATTTTTCAAAATAGAATTAAATTTTATTAATTAAAATTAATTTATAAAATGAAAAAAAAAAAAAAAAAAGAGATGCTGGGTGTGGGGTTCGAACCCACGCTCCCATCTGGGAACCAGAGCTTAAATCTGGCGCCTTAGACCGCTCGGCCAACCCAGCCCGATTTTTTTGAAATCATATGTCGCATAACAGCGGAAGACAAATTCTAAGGATTTATCGCAATACTTTTTTATTTTTTAATAAAAAAATGTTGTAATTAGTTATTATTCAATGCACATTATCCATTAAAAATTTTATTTTACTCAAAATTTAGATAAATATCAATTTTACTGCTAAAAATAAACTAGTTAACACAGAATTTCCATCAGGAATTATTAAATAAGTTAAAAAAATTAATTGTTCATTTTTAATATTTTTTTTTTTTAATTATAAAAGTCATATTTGAATTATTTTTATTGAAAAAATTGATAGAAAATAATTATGCGAGTATTGACTATGCGGCAAGGAGGTGGCTCCATCTACTCAGTGTAACGCGTAGATATTAAATTTATGAAATGCGAGGCTGATTTTGTGTCAATAACTGGTTTATAATTTTTAACTTTATAAATTGAATTAAAAAAAAAAAATTTTAATCATAAAAATATTTTTGACAAAATAAAAATTACAAACTTTGAATAAAATTGATAAAAAATTTTTTCTTTAGCATAAAGTTAATTAAAATAAAATTAATTAAATATAATGGAATGGATTTGTAAAATGTTTAATTATACCTATGATGAATATTATTCAAGAGGAAGAAATATTTAAAACGGATTGGTATATTAATTTCAGAGATATAATGCAAATAGTTTGCAGCAGTTAATTAAATAAAATATAAAAAAAAAACTGTACCGGTTAAATGTTGGTGTTCTTCGCTCCTTTCATCAGTAAGATTTTTCAATTGTTGTAAGAGCAAAGGGTACTTTAGTATCCTTTGAATAGGTTTAATTAAATAAGATTCCAAAGTTGATGAATGTTGCTGTCGTGGATTTCTTGCTTGTAAAAATTCTTGTAGTGCTTGATTTCCTTCGTCTGTTAGACAGTTATAATACATAACATGTAATTATTATTATTAAAATTTAATTATTAATTAATATATTTACTTCAAAGCACTTTTTTCTTATCTTGTAAATAATTACAAAAATAATTTAACATTATTAATTATTTTAATTCGCTCAAATAAACAACTGATAAATTTTATTGGGCTTTGTAATTGAAACTTGATGAATAATTAACTTACTTGGATGTAAAACTTTTTGAGCCTTTGAGTGACTGGCACAGAACGAGCTATATAATTTGAAGTGATTCACGTAATATAAAAAGGCACTTCCAATAGAAAATAGGACACCCTACAAAATCATTTAATTTAATTTAATTATTTCGAAAATAAAAATAAACAAGTCCTGAAAAAAGTGATTAAAAATTAACAAAGAATTTCCAATTAAACATAAAATATAATCAAATGAATTAATGTTTACTATTAGTTTGATGAAATTAGAAAATGGTCATTTCAGTTAATTACATAACCGGAATTTCTATTTCGATGTCAAAAGTAATTGCAATCACGTTACTCAAATGGTATTTAATTTGACTGAACATTAGTGGAAAAGCGAGCAATTAATTGCCTCAGAACTATTTTAAGCAATTATTATTCATTGTTAATTTCTACAACGTTAATTTTACCTGGATTCTTAATTTAATATTACTAAAAGTTAGTTTCATGATAAATTAAAATAATAATTAAATTTGCATAAATGTATGAGAGAAATAATTTTATAAATAATTAAAAATTACACAAATTTATTTAAATTTTACCTTAAATTGACTTGAATGGTCGAAGTTATTAAAATCAGCCTCCATTTCAATAGCATGATCAAGATTTTGCAAAAATTGCCTTTGAAATGTTACAATTTCTTGTATGTTACCGAACAGTGCGTTTATTTCGGCATTTGACAAGAATGTTTCTCGTTTCAGTGGCTCCAGATAATTTTCTAATAAATTATTAAGATTCTGAAATGAATAAAATTATTTTTTTAATATGATACTGAAATTAATATACATCTAATTTTTTTTAACAAATAAATTAAATCAAAAAAAATTTATTCAAAAAATTTCATCTTTAAAAGCTGGAAAAAATTATAAATGCAATTTTTTAAAAATAATTTTCTAATTTATTATTAAAAAAAAAAATGGTCAAGTATGCTAATTTTAATTTTATTTAAGTTCTAGGTCATTATATCCATTGTAATAAAATCCAATAAATATATCCAATGAGAAAAATATCTAATTGAATAATGTCCAATAGTAAAAAAATCCATGAAAATCAAGTTAGCCGACATTAAAAAATTTTTAGAAATTTTTTTATTAAAAAAATTTCAATTTAACAATTAAAAAAAAATTTCACATGTAAAAAAACTTGAAAAACTATTAGTGCAATTTTTATTAAATTATTTTTCAGTTGTAATTTAATTAATAAAAAAAAATCAAAAATTTTTAGACGTCTGCTAACTTTAGTGTCATAAAAAATCCAATGTAAATATATCGAATCAAAAATTATTTATTAATAATATTTTAATATCGAATTAATTTTAAATAAATAAACCACCAGGGATATGTTTATGTTTGATCTTTTTTTGCAATTGGATATTATTGCATATTTTGGAGATTATTACCATGGACATTATTGCCTTGGATTTTCTGACCGGTTACCATTTTTTTTTGAGTAAATTATTAGTGCTCTCTTAATAAATCTCGACTTCAGTAAGAAGCTTGAAATAGCTTAAGGAAAACAGACTTAAATTTTGGAATAAAAAAGACCGAAAATATTAAAGTTATAAATAAGAGTGTTTAAATTTACCTTTACGTAAGTACGTTCAGTATCGATGAGCTCGCAAATAACTTTTTTAAGTTTTTCCGCATCACTGAGCTGTCGGCTCGGCGTTAATACTTGGGAATGAGAGCTTACGACACTGCCAGTAGGACTAGATTTACGTGTTTCGCTGGGTGAGCGACAGATTCCAGTAACTTGTTCAGCAGTCTTCAATAAATTTTCAATCTCAAACGAATTTGTTCGTGACGTCTGCTTGTTATTTTCTAATTGAGAACCAGAAATACAATCTTTCATTGTAAAGGCACCGTCGTGCATAATATAACCACCACCACCACTCTCTTTGCCTAAAAGATAAAGAAAGAAAGCAAAGAAAAAAAATATATAAAAATAATAATAATGACAACTGGTAAATAAAATTTATGTCTCAATTTTTAACGAGATTACTGACAAATTCTAAGCAATTAAGCTCTGTAGCAATTATTCCAATGACTTTTTAATTGCGCGAGACTAATGAGATCGTTACATTGAGACTAAATAATACTTTTTAAGACATTGATATACAATAACTGACAAAAAGGCCAGAAATTAATATTTTATAAAACATAACATTTTTTAATGTTAAATAATAAATGAAAAAAAAAAATTAATTTAATTAAAATAAAAATGTAATATATATATATATATATATATATATATATATATATATATATATAT